AAGGATGGAGAAGATCAGTTGGACCGATTATGTGAGAAATGAAGAAGTGTTAATTAGAGTCAGTGAGCAGAGGAATATCCTACACGAAATAAGAAAATGGAAGGCTAATTGAATTGGTCATATCTTACGCAGTAACTGCCTTCTAAAAGAAGTTATTGAAGGAAAGATAGAGGGGCGGATAGAAGTGACAAGAAGACGAGGAAGAAGACGTAAGAAGATACTGGATTACCTTGGGGACAGAAGAGGATATTTTCATTTGAAGGAGAAAGCTCTAGATCGCATTAAGTGGAGGAACTGTTTTGGAAGAGACTGTGGACCTGTCGTCTGACAGATTACTGATGAATGAATACTGTTATGTAACGATGGCTCTCCAAATCCGAACGAAACAAATGGTCTAACCCATGACAGCTGAAGGGTGGAATTCTTCATAACAGCTACTGTGAGGCATTTCAATCCTACAAACTACAGAAACTTTATTCCGGATAGCGAGCAATCCGACTTCTTTTCTAACTGAGCACTTACCGGATGCAAAACTGGAACTGTACCCTTACTGCAGTCTGTTAGTACCAAATACTCTTATCTTCCTACTAGCCGGTTCGAGCCTTGGCCTTATTGCTTATTAATCAGTAATCTGAGTCATTTAATCGTGAATTTAACTAATGCAGTGATGCAAAGGCGCAGCTACCGTGTCCTGGCATTGTACGTGTATCAATGTTGAAAAAGGAAATCTGAACACATGAGAGCACAGAACCTACAGGCCGTGCCTTTACACCTGATTCTTGGATTGCGACTCAGGAGTAATACGAGAAGCAGTAGCCTTGGCAGTGGTTCCAGCAATGAAAGAGGGAGGGACGGTGACGCATTATAACTAACATCCAGTTACAGCATATATACACCCTGCAATCCTTACTTCAGTTAGTGGACTGGATCAAATGCCTTAGCAGTCTACTGAGAACAGCTAGGACAATGCGTACTTTGTTTCGTGGTGCTGTCATTTGGCCTAGAATTATTTACTCAACATGTCCCATACATCTGATGCCGGTGTTTCACGTTATTTTCGGCGCAGGATTTGTTTTACAGGGACCTGGATGTTGTAACGTCCGTTATTGTTGAGAATTAGTCAACAGCCGATTTCGTATTGACTTGCTTCTTGCAACTGTGTTAGATTTCTGTCACTAACATCCTTCGAAACTTGGTTACAGTTACCATATACCGGTTAATATAGACCAAAGTTTGCATTAACACCATTATTCAGCTATATAATTTATAGTTATTGGATAACCAACTCGGCAAGTTCATGTCGTATAAAAATGTTTTACTGAATATTCTGGATAAACCAAAATTACATCCCATGCAGTAATATATATTTATGCATACTTTATTTTCGACTTACAATTATATTAGTGTGATTGCAAATGGACTTCTGTAATGGTCATCTCTTCAGAGATGTGAACATAAAAGAATTACCTTTTATGCCCTAAAATTATACATATGCTTCAAAAGGACACTATGCATCATAGATATTAGAGCCTTTCAAGAGGAATCGAAGGAAGAAATAAAAAGAATAGATTGTATAGATGCTAGACCATTTAAGACCTTAGATCGTTCTAACACGGGGATCACAGCCTGGAATTTTGTTCGGGCTATGGTGTGCGTACAATCGTCTGTTGCTCCTTATATCAAGAAGCAGAGACTTTATGGTAGACCGATCTTCCGTTCTGACACCTCTGAACTTAATTGGAGTCATTTCAGAATTAATTGTGTCTGGGAAGAAGCGACAAATTCTAATCAGTGGAAACGCAACAAGGAGAAATTTATTCTGCAGAATAAAAATGGAAACAGGCATACGATGTTTATAATTAGGTTGGCTGATATTTTCTCGTTAACGTCGGTAGAAATATTTACCCTTAGCTGCCATGTAAGCAGGTAAGTTCATCTTTCCGAAATTAACTGAACACCTGTATTCTCTCTGAGAAAACCAAGGAGTTCAAATATAATTTTAATGTCAAGATATTTTAAGAACGGAAACAAACAGAGCAGATTGCCAAAAATTATGTAATTGACCAAGGGGAATAAGAAATCCAGAGATAACCCATTCATAAGTTCTCTGTTACATGCGTTAAATCGTAAGTTTTCATTAAATATGCAGGCTGGTCGCGCCATAGTTCAAGCGGTTAGTTGCTGGCTTCGCACCGCGGCAGCCCGGGTTCGAGCCCAGCTATTGTCAAGTGGGATTTGTGGTGGAAAGTGGCGCTGGGGTAGGTTTTCCCCGAGTACTTCGGTTTCCCCTCCCAACCTTCATTCCACTAAATTATCCATCATCATAATCACCCGGGGCAGGTACAATAGGCAAATCAGTGGCCGACGTGCCGAGTGGAACCAGCTCAACTCCACCCCCCCTCATGAGAATTAAAAAAAATGCAGGCTCTCTATGATGGACTTTCGTTTTCAGCCATTACTTATATATAGGATACATAGGTAAGACGAAAATTATCTAGACAATAAAGTAGACAGATATATGTACCACCTGTAATGTAAACATTCAAATTATTTGTGCTATACAACGAAAGTCCGTGTGCAATTCTGTCCCCAATAACATGAAGAATTTAATGGATTTCATGAATCTTCATACGTCTCTGCAACCAATGCTTGGGTGGCCGTGTAGATAGACTATTCATATGACTTATTCCTAGCCCTGTTCGATTCTTCCTACCTTATTTATTTCGACGTTTTAAACTTTTTAATTTATGGAATATTTTTGTGATGAGGTCGTTGTTGAGCAATCTGGAACGAATTCAACCTCGGAATATTGTGTTATTTTCTTTCTAGATCCTCGGTTTTCATGCCCCTACTTTCACTATCACACCTCAGAGCTGGCGCCGTCACCGTAATGGTGTTATTGCATTCACCGTTCATGGTTTTAATTGCTTCTCATTTATTCAGTAAATCAGGTTGCTGAATCATCAGTGGAGGTTTGGAGGTTGAAGGACATTGACAATGCGACATTCTACAAAAATTATTGATTGAGAAAAGGGGAGGCTGTGGCTTTTCTCAAGTACGAAGTTGACATTCGAGTGATCAGACGGAAGAACACAAAAATTATCTTATAAATATTGGGATGGAACGATTTTAATTGATGAATTTTTAAGTGTCATTTGATAATTGTCCGTTGCAAATGGCCTCGGGCTGATGAAATAAATGCATGCTACACGTAACGCTCTACAGCCCTCGCGGACCTTGGCCGCTTTTCAATTTCTTAATTTGTACACAAACGATAGGACTCCTTTTAGGGGGGATCAGACCGTCTCAAGGCCACTACCTATACACAGGATAACACAAACACAGACATCCATGCTTCAAGTGGTATTCAAACCCACGATCCCAGTGTTTGAGCGGACGAAGACAGTTTATGCCTTGGAAGGCGCGACCCTTGTGATCGTCACGTAACATATTGTCACGTGTTGGGTGTATAACGCGACGAGTAACTTCACGCCTTATTTGATATAGCGAATTTATTGCACATTCGCTCCACACTTATAGAATCTTCCAATTACTGTCATTGGCAGTATCACAAATAGTAGACTACAATTAACTGGTTACTCTTTCTGGCTCAATACTCACTACCCACTAACTAATCATTCACTACTACTGAATAGTGTTCGCTGCTCCTTATTTAGCCTCGGCACGGAGAACACAGAAAACAGTTACGTGATAGGTACCGCTGTTGCCTGATGCCGTGTTTACAGGTTGCCTAGCAACAATGTTGAGAGTTATTTACTGCTCTGTAGCAACAGCGGCATCCCTTGGTAACGTCACCGCGGGAGGGGGCGAGGTGTTGACTGGCCTGTTACCGTAGCAGTGGCAACGCTCCGAAGGTGTTACGTCACCACTAGCGGGTGAAGGGGTGTCTTGCATAGCGCAAATACGTCACAATATTAACGGTGTGGAAAAGAAGAAGGATAATCTGGCAACTTGTGAAATAGCTACTGTTTCATGGCTTCCAGCCCTTATGTTACAATTCATTATATCATATTTAATTTTATGTTGTTTTCCTATCAAAAGTTTAAGAACTATAATATTCGGCTTCTTTGCTAACGTTCCTCTACACTTTGTTTTCGTTCCTATCATTTCTCTAACTTTTCTGAAAAAAACTCTATAATGCAAATCCTAATTGTGTCCGTTCTTGTCTAATTGCTCGTAACACTGCACCTAATCCGTCTAGTTGTTATATATAATACTTAAGAAATGCAAGGCTATAAAGGTATAATCACAATAACAAATTTCAGTCTTTGCTTCGAAGTGTCGCACAATATACACAGTGCCTAGAACGAATATCTATCACAGTGGACGTGCGTTCTAAGGCATGGCCAATCTTCGCTCGCTCGAACGATGGGATCATGGGCTCGAATCCCACTCCAAGGATGGATATCCATATGTGCGTTTATTTTGTGTCTGTGATGTCCCGTGTGTAGGTAGAGGCCTTGCGACGGGCTGATCACTCGTCCAAGGAGTTCTACCGTCTGTGTAAAAAAATATGACAGAACTGAAGATGAGGCCAGGGTCCAACAAAAGGTTATATAGAGCCATGAACCAACGTACAAATCGCAAGCCCTTGTCATTGAAGTACTTGATGCAACGTCAATAAATCATTTATTACCAAATTAATTACCTGGTATCTGGGTTGTGATACAGCTCATGGCTTCCATATACAGACTCTATTGATCGCAACCTAATAACTTTCTCTAGGACTCATTAGATATGTCGCTTATGACACTGACACTTTTAAATTGGCCTTACTTGATATCTGAAAAGATCTGAGAAAGAAAAGTTCCTAGATTTTCGTGCACATACACAGCTATTCAAGCATTTTCAGCAACGGAAATTATATATTGCTACGAAAACTTTGTAAAAGAAGAAAGTTTTCTAAATAAAATGTATGGAAAGAGTAGGAAATTGACAGATTATTTACTTAAGAATAATTACGTTAGTCTGTGTTTCAGATGACACATGAGCTGCTCCAGAAACATCTCGTGAAACAATGAAGATCGGCTCAAGAGAGGGAGAAGGAGATAGCATAAACGGGGACTGCTCTTGCTGCTGTAATTATCCTAGTTGCCATGAATGTTGCGACAGCCTGTCCAAGCAGCCCCTCAAGGAGCAGGCTGGGATGGACAGATCTTGTTCCAGCTGGAGTAGATGTAAAAGGTCCACTATTACCAGTTTCTATAAAGGTGAGTTTCTTTAATAGTTTCTTAAGTTATTATGCAGCCGCTCATAGTGGCAGCGCGGTCATAGGCATAACCTGTCTCCGTTCGCTCGAATGCTGGGATCGTGGGTTCAAATCCCACTAAATGCATGGATATCTCTGTGTGCGTTTATTCTGTGTTTGTGATGTCCTGTATGTAGGTAGCGGCCTTGCGACGGGTTGATCCGCTGTCCAAGGAGTCCTACCGTATGTGTAAAACAGATTACAGATTACAGGCGGCCAGGATCCAACAAAGGGCTGCAGAGCGATTGACGAATGAAGTTACTATGCTGATAAAACATGCAGAACTATCTACAGGCATGGAAGAAATATTAAGGTGATGTAACTGGATCACCAGGGAAAGCAATTATTCTTTTTTCAGTGAAGGTTACCTAATTTTTCTTAAATGCTTTCACATGTCTGCAGAAATTTGTCAGATATGTATTTCTGTCTATATAAAGTAGAAGTTTACTTTTGTAGAAAATTCTCATGAAGACTGTAGACAGCAAATTCCTGAAAGCTGTGAGAAGTTTTCTGGAAAGATTTTCCACAACATAACAATGCCTTCTCTTTATCACACACTAGACTTTGCATCGCATAAACTGTACACATGGCCTTGAACTTCACGCATCGTACCCTTTTTAAGACGAGACACATCGAACTGTCTTATCAGACGAAAGAGAAAATATAAACCATGATGGGCTCCGTGTTCACGTGATATTCCATTCCACATAAGCCTGATATGAAAGAACGGTTTTCCAATAATTTCCAATGACGTAGGGCTTCAGAACGTAACATTTAAATCTTTATCAGTTCAAAATAATTGTTTCGGCCTTAATGTTGGTACTGTTTATTTTGTACTCGTAGATCCAAGAAATATAAATATAAAACTAACTGAAACCTGTATAGCGACTGGCTACGAGTTGGACGACCGAGGGGTCAGAGTTCGAGTCCCGGTAGAGTCAATCGTTTTTTTTTTCAACGTCATCCCGACCGGCTCTGTGCCCCATCCAGCTTCCTATCCAATGGTTACCGGGGTCTCTTTCCACGGGGGTAAAGCGGCAAGGTTGTGAAGCTGAACATTACCCTCCAACTAGTGCAGAGGTCAAGAAAATGCGGATCTATATAATGACTCCAAAATACGCCTTCATGGTGTAGTGCTTAATTAATTAAGCACGGGTGCAATTTTACCCTTTTTACTCAAACAAAACATGACCTTCATCCTGTGTTTCGTTGAAATCGATATCATTGGATGTCACAGGGAAGCGGTCAGGAGAATGTAGATGCCCTTATAGGTGACTGAAAATAAGACAAATTGAGCTCCAGTGACATAGCGGATTGATGGAAATTGGTGGAAATTTTCAGAAGTTAAAAAAGCAAGAGGAAAGAAAAACATATTCGCATACACGACAACGTAAGTTTCTCTTTCCGTATGGAATAATTGTGATATTTATTGTTTATTTTGGCACGGTGTGAAAATCTCAGACTAGTGTGTCAAATGATAGGATGATTTGAGAATGATGAATTGGAAATCATTGGAAGGAAGAGGTAGTGGCCTAATAAAGGTATTATTCTAGAATTCCCCTAGAGGACCTGAACAAAACGACGAAAATCTCAGACAGTATTACCAGGGCCCCGCCAAAGTTTAGAACACAGCACCTCCAAATATAAATCCAGAGAGTTATTGCATGTTAAGGAAAAATGGAACGGAGTTTGGGAGGTTATTAGAAAAGACACAGAAAAACACATAGTTACTATAGGATTCTGACGATGGCGTAAAACACACAGAGATATTGGATTTTCGGACTTTATCCATCGTCCTGGTTTTTAAGATAACTAAGAAAAACACGACGTTTCGGAAACTGGATCTGTTTCCTTCCTCAGGGGAAACACCTATTCTGTTTGGTCCCTTAGAAAGATTGAGGCTAGCTCTTTCTAAGGGACCAAACAGAATAGGTGTTTTCCTTCACCTGAGGACGGAAACAGATCCAGTTTCCGAAACGTCGTGTTTTTCTTAGTTATCTTAAAAACCAGGACGATGGATAAAGTCCGAAAACCCAATATCTCTGTGAGAAAACCACTTATCCTATGATAAGGAAATTCCTTATGAAATACTCGATAAGTCTAAAACTATTATAAGCTTCGCGGTTTTCTACGTCCTTATTAAAAAATTTGTTCACCCCTGTTGTAAACGAATGCGACAGCGTTGAAGCATCGGCACGATTCAGAAAAGAAAGCCGGAAGAAAAGCTTAGTAATGACACTACGGTATGAACTTTCATCTACTAATTGTGCACACACTATCTGTGATGAAAATGTGAGGATACTGTCGAGTGCCAACATGAAGGCCATCATCAACCAAGACATAATTGCAAAGAAACGCACTAGGAGAGCCCCGAGCGGCACGTTATATAATCACAAGAAATGAGAGGCGAATGAGTTCATGGTACTACATTTTGCACATACTTCACGCAGTTAATTACTTCCTTTGTAAGATTTAACACGAAGGACTAGAGAGAATAGATAGTTAGAAGCAGACAAGGGAATAGTAACATGCACTTTCCGATGGTAGGTATTGGAGAGGTTTATACCCGTAGGCTCATGAAACCGGTGTAAACAGACAAAGTGATGAATATTGTGGAACAGAGCAAAAAGAAATAAGCAATAAGAAACAATAATGTTTAGTTATTTTACTAACCTATAATCTAACACGTGCCCACCACGTATTGTCCTGTGTGTAGGTAGCGGCCTTGAGACGGGCTGATCACTCAACCAAGGAGTCCTACCGTGAGTGTAGAAAAGATTACGAAACTGAAGAAGACGCAAGGACACAACAAAGGGCTACAGAGCCATTGATGAATGAATGAAATGAAATAACCTAACACACGAAAGAAAAAGAAAACAACATTTTTCACGTTCGAACGTAGTAAGTAATTTTCGTCTGGCGGCAGCGGGCAGTGTCAAGGCCGAATCCTGATATTGCAATTTAGAGACTGAGGAAAACAACAAAAAATCCATCGTATTGGGCAGTATGCAGCCAAGAGCGCAATTCAATACTTCAGAATACGAGTCTGCAATTTTATGATCTATACAAGTGTGTTCGTGTTTTGAACAGTGTGCAGATGACGGAATCAAGGAGTGGCCTAATTCCGAAGGAAGGCGGGAAGAGTAACCGTCGCCACTTAAGTTTCTGCTTCACGTTCGCTCCGAGGGTTCTTGCAGTTTACATAATGACCTTGAACAGACCAGATATATTGACGGCTGATCGAGAACTTAGGAAAAAATTACTTGACAGGCTTTGAAAGAATGGGTTCCGAAGCAGCATTGTTGTGTTTAAAATGCGTTATCCTCTTAATTGTCCCGAATACCTGAAGATAACTGCGATGAACTGTCCCAGTTTTCCGAGCCGAGGTTCGAATCAATAACCTCCAACTCAAGATTCAGACACGTCTCGGTACAATAAAGTACAACAAAGTATAAAGGGATAGAAAAGATCAGTAAAAAGATTAAAGCTATCTTTATAAGAGACCAAGGGGGCCCATAGGATTTTGAGACGTCGAGGTTCCCGCATTTTCTAGGCAATCAGCTTACAGATGGCGGTGAGTTTGTCAGCTTTATGACCCGGCCGTCCTCTATCACCCAGGAAGATTTCTGGTACTCATTTATGTTAGAGACTGAGTCGACTCCAGGGCCGTATTGTGGGCTTGGAGGATTAGGTCAATTGAAGAAATTCAATGACCTCTTCGGATTTCAAACTCACGAACTTCCCACTTGTAACATAGTGCTTCGACCGCGTGCCCCAGAAAAGAAGCAGTAAAGGGTGAAATGAAGAAACCAAGAATAATTTAAATTAGGGTAAGTGATCATGACTGATACCCTCTTGTTCACTGCAAAACAAGCCCAATGAAAACACAGTAAGCCTAACCGCCCTTGGTATCTGGCAAAGTTTATTAATGAGTGTCCCACTTATCCAGCTCTGAATAGCACCGGTCACTCTAACGTTACTCACTGGCAATGGTATTCCTCTGAAGGTTGAATTGTCATAAAGTATATTCGGACATATCTTTTGAAGGATTCAGATATTTCGACACTGCACGAAGAAAAACATTTGACCTGTACGTTTATTTTATTTATGATGACCTACATATAGTGACATAAAGCACGCGGATCTTTCACAAGTCACTGTGCTTGTAAGCTGGTGGTTTCCAATTTTATCTCGAGCAGTTCCTCATGCCCTTGTGATACCATTTCTTTTCTAAATTCGCTTAGTGGGGAGTGGAGTCCAACTGGGTCCACGTGGCATGGCGGCCACTGATTGGCCTCTTGTACCTGCCCCGAGTGATTATGATGATGGAGAATTTGGTGGAATGAAGATTGGCAGGGGAAACCGAAGTACTCGGAGAAAACCTACTCCAGCGCCACTTTGTCCACCACAAATCCCACTTTACCAGACCAGGGTTTGAACCCGGGCCGCCGCAGTGGGAAACCAGCGACTAACCGCTTGAACTATGGCGCGCCATTTATGATACCATCGAACTCTCATTTTTTTTTCACAAAATGAACAAAAGTGCAGCTAGAAATAAGTATGATGTGTGACCCATTGCAAATGTGTTTAGTACGGCATTTTGTTTCAGTGACAGCTGTGAAAATTGCTGTTACTTTAAGGGTGCGGGGACAAGGATTTTAGATATGGGAAATTCGGGTGTTAGAGCATACATAACAGGGAAGTAAATAAATATGTAGAATGTTTCTAAATCGGAATGACTCTCAAGTTTGTTATTTCTCTCCTGTTATTATTTTGCGAAGTAAGGTCAACCAAATGAGCACAGACGCGTCTTGCGAAAGAAGTTCTTACAAATGTTACGTCGAAATTGTAATAAAAAACGTGGGAGAATAAATATAACTGGAAGGACGCCATTAAGATGTCCTTTGTGAAGCAGAATTTGTAGATGTGAATGGGTCTGAAGCGCCTCATTGCAGGGTACAA